ACATAATAAATAAGAGAGGGCCGAGTATACTTCCCTGAGGAATGCCACAAATGATTTCTTTCTCCACCGAGAGTATACTGGCCAATTGACAACTTTGAGTTCGGTGCGTCAAATAGCAACGTAAAAGATTTAATGCTTTCCTTTGGAAACCATACATTTCAAACTTACTTAACAGTATTTCGTGGTCGACTGTATCGAATGCTTTTTTAGGTCAAGAAAAACAACTAAGTTATACAGCCCACGGTCCATGTTGGTATACCATTCGTTCGTACAATCCAATAATGTAGTAGTTGTGGAATGATAAGGTCTGAAACCAAATTGGTGTTTTGAGAAAAGATTATTCTGGTTAAGATACTCATACATTTGATCATACATAATTCCTTCCATAAGTTTACTTACTACAGGAAGGATTGATATCGATCTATAGCAATAACTGAAGCTGCTACTTGTAGAATTTTAGCTGAAATTTTATCCATTCCAGTCGCTTTGGTGGTAGACGAATTAACTAGAAGAGTGTAAACCAATGTTACACTCACTGGTCGAAATGAGAAACTGTTCTTTGTCTTAGATTTTTGTTGAGTAATAAAATCTCGAAAACTAACGTCATTGTCATTTGGAGTAGACTCAGCAAGCTTTGGGCCAATATTACTAAAATGATCATTAAAAATGTCGACTAATTCGTCGGTTGATGTAACAGTTTTACCTGGAAGTTTAATTTCATTAATCGTAGTCTGTTTTCTGTTTCGACCTAATATATCGTTTATTGTTCTCCAAGCATATTTAGGATTCTGTTTATTATTTGTGAATTTGTTTGCATAATAATCTCTTTTAGCACTGCGCAAAGCAGTGTTGGCAACATTTCTAGATGACTTATATAGTCTACAGTCTTCTTCTTTATTTGTCTTTATTGCTTTACGCTTAAGAGCATCTCTTTTAAATAATTTTTCCTTTACTTCCCGGCTTACCCAAGGAATATTGCCCCCTTTTCTTAATCTTTTTACTCTCACAGGGGCATGTTTATCCAGCACATCTACAAAGAATGTTTTCCATAACCGCCACATTTCATCTACATTTCTTTTAAATCTTATTTCTTCCCAAGGTATATTTTGTAAGTCATATAGAAAGCCTGAAACATTGAAATTCTTAAAATTTCTATACTCGACAGAACCTTGTAAATCAGTTTTTATTCTTGTACTTATTTTCCGAATACTATAAATGAGGCTGTGATCACTAATTCCGAGATGGACTGCACGTGAAAAAAATATTTTTCAGGCATTGACGCAATTACTACATCCAATAATGATTGGCTAGACTGGGTAATACGCGTAGGGTTATTAATTAATTGTGTAAGCTGATATAATTCCAAAACGTCTTGAAGCTT